CCTGCAGCACAGATGCTAGCAGCAGAGGCTCGCCTGGTGGTGAGGCTAGCAGAGCGTGTGGGACTGTACCGCAAAAGGAGCTATCCCCACGAAGTCCAGTTCTTTGACTTGAGGCTCCTTTTCCTGCTAACAGCCCTTCGCACCGATGTGCGCCAGCAGCTGTTTCAGGAGCTGCATGGTGTGCGCCTGCTGACTGATGCACTGGAACTGACACTGGGGGTGGCCCCCCAAGAAAAACCCCCGGCGGTACTTCCGGCCCAAGAGACAGAGCGGGCCATGGAGATTCTCAAAGTGCTCTTTAACATCACCTTTGACTCAGTCAAGAGGGAGGTGGATGAGGTGAGTTGGAGCCTGAAGTCATGGGTGGGGCTCAGCACAGCTGGGACATTTTGTGGTTTTGCTTCCTTTGTGCCTCAAGTTCCAGGGTGTCAGATATGGCAAGGACAGTAAGACAGTCTAGGCAGGGAATTCAAGGAAGGTTTCTGAGCTGTGTGGTGCATGGGGTGGGAGCGCGTTCTTCACAAGGCTTCAGGTGGCCAGAGGTCACCAGGTGTGCTGTGAACAAAGCCTAGTGCTCAGCTCCATGTGGCCCTGGAGCACAGGGACAGGGACTCCTTCTTACAGGAGCCCCTTTCTGTCTTTGGTTAGGAAGACGCTGCCCTTTACCGGTACCTGGGGACCCTTCTGCGACACTGTGTGATGGTTGCTGCTGCTGGAGACCGCACAGAGGAGTTCCATGGGTGAGGGCATGACTTACTATGTTGGTGGTGGGGAGAGTGCTTAGGCATGGGTACAGTAGTTCTCAACCCTAGCTGTGAATCAGAAACACCTGGGAGCCCAGGTCCCACCTAAGAGTATCACTTTGTCAGGGGAATGGGACACCAGAGAGCCCCAGGAGCTCAGGATCTGACTAGAAAAAGAGCTAAGGGGGAGGCAGTGGTGGCCATGGCGCTGTAAGGCAATGTGGTCTCCTGTTCCTGCTGATGGTGACCAATAAGTACCTCAGCTGACCTTTGTTTCCAGAGATTGCTTGGTATCTCAGCTCAGACAGGGGGAGTGTCTACTGTCTCCCCACCAAACTTGAGTGGGGGGTACCACCTGTCCATGCCTCTAGTCCTCAGTGCTGTCCTTCAGTCCTGCATGTGTACCCCAGGAGAGGAGCCAGGGATTACATCTGTGCTAGAGTTGTCCGGTCAAGGCCTCTGTCTGTCCCCAGCCACACTGTGAATCTCCTGGGGAACTTGCCCCTCAAATGTTTGGATGTCCTTCTCGCCTTGGAGCTACATGAAGGATCCTTAGAGTTTATGGGAGTCAATATGGAAGTGATCAGTGCCCTGCTTGCCTTCCTAGAGAAGCGTCTGCACCAGGTAGGTGGAGGACCTGCTATGTGGACACCCACGGGCTTTGACCCCAATTGTGGCTGTTTCTGCACCATTGGTACTGGCAGGTAGAGGTCAGCTTGGTGGTGTAACTTGGACAATTCCTCTGATTGCTGTGTGGCCCCACCAGCTGGTAGCCAGTCAGTCAGACCCTCTCAGAAGCTTGTGCATCCAGCATATGTGTGAGCCTCACTGCTGCTAATTACCGAAGACAAGCAAGCTTCAAGGGTCTGTCTACCAAGGTGAATGTTATCTTGGGTCTCTGTGGTTCCCTGTTCAGTGGTTCTCGGAAGCCTTTGGTTCCTACTTGTGACCCTCAGGCTCCTAATGACCCCATACATGGACAGCCATAGATGACAGCATCTGTTGTCCTTCTGCATCTTTTTGTTTTGTTTTTTTTATTTTGGTTTTTCGAGACAGGGTTTCTCTGTGTAGTCCTAGCTGTCCTGGAACTCGCTCTGTAGATTAGGCTGACCTCGAACTTAGAGATCCGCCTGTTTCTGCCTTCCAATTGCTCGAATTAAAGGAGTGACATCCCACTTCCTCACCCCGCCTCTGGCTGTCCCTCTGCATCTTAAGGAGACATAACCAAAGGGTACCTGACTCCTATGGCTATAGCATAGGACATCCAGATAGCTGGCAATCCAGGCCATCCTTGTGGCGCTCACGCAGAGGAAAGCCAGAGAGGTTCATGAGATCTCTGAGGAGCCATGCTACTGAGGAGCCATAGGGTACTCAGTACCTATGGGCTGGGTGAGGACAGAGGAGCTGGCCCTGAACATACTAGCTGGGACTGCCTCCCCTGTGGCTGTACCTGCTGGTATCGGGCTCCAGGGAGATAACGGGAAGGGCTGGGTACACTGCTTGTTGTCCATGAGGCACTCTGACTAAGGATTCTATTGTTTGTTTTTGCTGTTTCTCGAGGGTAGTGTGCATCTGAGGTGTGCAGACAGCTTCAGATGCTTTTTGTTTTGTTCATGGCCCTGCTTTATAGTTGCAGCAGCTAGTCTTAACGAAGTGAGTTGTTTGACCTAAGTCCTAAAGCTTTTCAGTCATTTCCAGAAGGAGGTCCTGTTTCCATTACTCTTTCTTTTTAAGGGTTTCATATACCCTGTGTAGCCAAGGATGACCTGGAACATCTCATCTTCCTGCCGCCCAAGTGCTGGGAATGTAGGCGTGTGCCACCATGGCTGGTTTAGTGTTTCCATATGTTTTAAGCTAGTAAATACCCACCACTACCTTTGGCCCTTAGCTGACTTACTGCAGCAAGGCCTCTTTACAAGAGTGTTGCCAGAACCGTCTGGTGAAGTGTGCAGTGTGCCCCCATCCTACATGGGGGGCATGTCACAGTGACAGAAGCCCTTCTGCAGACCCACAGGCTGAAGGAGTGTGTGGCACCTGTGCTGAGCGTGTTGACAGAATGCGCCCGCATGCACCGTCCTGCCAGGAAGTTCCTGAAGGCCCAGGTACTTGGAAAAGGAGACGGAGCTGGGGAACACAGGTTGGATCCTCTTTATAGGCCCCTGGCTGCTCCAAGCCAACACTTACAGACAGCTGCCTCCCCAGGTCCTGCCCCCTCTGAGGGATGTGAGGACTCGGCCTGAGGTGGGGGACCTGCTTCGAAACAAGCTTGTCCGCCTCATGACACACCTGGATACAGATGTGAAGAGGGTAGCTGCTGAGTTCCTCTTTGTCTTATGCTCTGAGAGTGGTGAGTTGGGGGAGCCCAAGCCCCAGGCCTTCCCTGCCTCAGCCATATTCACACATTGACCTCTGCCCTGGTCTTCAGTGCCCCGATTCATCAAGTACACAGGCTACGGAAATGCTGCTGGCCTCCTGGCTGCCAGGGGCCTCATGGCTGGGGGCCGGCCCGAGGGCCAGTACTCAGAGGATGAAGACACCGACACAGAGGAGTACAGAGAAGCTAAGGCCAGGTATGTGCCCCTCATATACACTTGGGTTCCCCCACAGCCCCCATTCCCCTATCCTTACCTCCAATCAGAACCAGTAGGACATAGGACAGGATGAGGACTAGGTAAGACCTAAAATCAGGCACTTGTGTTCTGATGACAAGTTGTGTCCTGAGTGTACTGAGGCCCAGCAAGTGGGCTCTCTGAGAACTAGGAGGTCCTGGGCAAGAGTTGTCTGGCTGGTGTCCCAGGGGGTCAGGGGGAGGGGGGAGGATCTCCCTTCTGAAGTCCTACTACCACGAAAACCAAGAAGGTGGGTTCTTGCTAACCCAGCCCTAAGCATGAAGATGGAGACTACCTGCCCCACGTAGTCCCGCTTTTCCTATAGCATCATTAACCCATTTCCCATGCTCTGTTCCTGGAAAGTAGCATCAACCCTGTGACCGGAAGGGTGGAGGAGAAGCCACCCAATCCTATGGAAGGCATGACAGAGGAGCAGAAGGAACATGAGGCCATGAAGCTAGTGAACATGTTTGACAAGCTCTCCAGGTATGTGTTATGAGGAAGGCTTGTAGCGAGGAGACATGGGAATGGTTCTGTTTTGTGAGCCCAGGAAGACTGGCTTAGCGGAGATTAGGATCCTGATGAGGCTGTATTAGACATTTAAGATAACTTGCCCTAGAGGTAGCCCTCCAGAAAAGAGGCTATGGTTAGCATTGAGTCCTGTTTATAGATGATGAAAATGAGGACAAGAAAGTAAAGGACTGCCTAATATCTCAAAGCTAATTAGGTGGCGGTTAGGATCTGGGCCTGATTAACAGTTACCCTAGTCCAAGTAGCAGCCAAGAATGAGCAAGACTCCCTGCCCTGCACACCAGGTCTCTTCCCCATCCACATGTGCTTTCCCTGCAGGCACAGAGTCATCCAACCCATGGGGATGAGTCCTCGGGGTCACCTCACCTCTCTGCAAGATGCGATGTGTGAGACCATGGAGGGGCAGCTCTCCTCAGACCCCGACTCAGACCCTGACTGAAGATGGCAGCGACTTTGCTCCCCTTCAGAACTGGTGCTGCTTCCAGACGTGTCCTTGGGGTGCTGCCTAGAGAAGCCACACTCCTCTCCAGCAGGGGAGCCTTTCTCTTTACTCCCCACACTATCCATGATTTGCCTTTGGTCCAGTTTCTTGTCTTTAGGACTGTGGTAGTCTTACTCTCTGTGAAGACTGGGAAACCACCCTTAATTTCCACAAGCGAAGTTGTTTCTTTGAATGTTTGCCAAGCATATGCCATGGCTGCAGACACATATGGCCTTGGCACATCAATGAACATGCATGTATGAGGGTGGTGACAGAGTAGGTGTACATTGTATAAGCATGTGTGGGCTGGCATGGGAGCCCAGAGCCCGTATGTGGGGCATATGCTGTGTTTCACACATGGAAGAATCTATTGGAACGGTTTAAATATGTCAAAAACACAGAGCATCACAATTCCTATTTGTGGCCCCACTGATCACAGGGCCAGTGGCCTCTTTTGAATTCTTCTTGGTCCTGGCTCATCCACCACTGCATTATCCACATACTCAAGCCTCACTGGTTGTGAAAGCTGAGTCAGTCACAACCACTGGTTTAGTAACTGTATGAAGGCAAAAGTTGTAAGACAAGGTAAAATCTGACATTTCTGAAGCACAGGATAAAGAAGAGTTTGGGACAAGATTGTATGTAAAGTAGCCAGCTGAGAGTTTATTAAATAGAAACTAATTTCATTCTTTGTGGAATTCAAGATATCCTAGATCACTGTGCATCTGCTGTCATTGGAGAACAAAATTAGGAGACCCCATTCCCTGGAATCTGTTGTCAGCCCTAGTCAGAATGGGTGCAGTATCAGGAGGTACTTCTACCTGGGCAACAGCCCAAACTGTATGTACCTGGGTAGCAGCCAAGGAGGAAGCGAAGCAGCCTGCATTTAATCATAACTGCACATAGGACAGGAAAAATAAGGGACCCATGGGATTTCCAGAGCAATGCCTGCCACTGGTTTTAGCATCGTAACTGGCCATGCCTGGGTGGAGCAGTGGGAAGTGGCGTAGGAAGGGCTGGGCAGATGGCATTCTGAAAGACATGGGTATTCCTAAGGGATTGCGGAAAAGGAGCTGAGTTAATACCAGGGTGAGTCAAGGGACAGATGGGCTCAGTCTAGTCATCCAAGAGGAGGACACCCACATAACCTGAAATATGTTAACCCTTACTGTCCTGGAGACAAATGAGAGGATACCAAGTTTTTATACTAAAATTTATTTCATGCGAGAAATGAAGATGTTTTTTAGTCAAAGATGCCTCTGTAGAGACCGACATGGTAGATTACCCTAGTGCATCACTTGGGTCTGGTGATGGTGGACGTGCTGTGCTGCCCTACAGATAACCGTAAGGACCACTGCCAGAAAGAAGCATTCTGCACTACAAGCTTCAGCAGTGATGGGACAGAGCACACATGGACTCTTTTGCATTCTGATGGCCCCAAGGGTAAACATCCCTGGTCAGTCTTTACAAAGGCAGCCTCAGAAGACCACTAACCAGGTCCCACGTGGTTTGGCCCAGATTTGTAAACCTGTCCGAGCTGTTTTCAGGCATGAGGTCTCCCTGGAAAGAGGATCTCCTGTGTGACTTTCCCACAGGTGACGAAGCCATAGTCTTATCTGTCCTGTCCATCCAGCTGGAACAGACAGGAGGTCAGTTAACTTCACACCCAGACAGGTTAACGTCCTAGACCAGATCAGTCATTGAAGTCAAGCAAAATATGGAACAAGCTTTTCTCTTTAAAGTGAACAAGAAAAGGGATCCCATAAGACCTAGCACAACATAGGTGGCTAAATAAAGACTTCCAAGAAATGGCACCAGCATACATTCAGCCCTAAGAGCCAAATTTTTGGAACAAAAAGATAAAAATAATACTGGTGGTTACATCTCATCTGTGGAAGCAGTAAATGCCAAGGCTCGTCCTTAATATACCTTGCTTCTCTTTGGTCCATTTCATTAAGAGCTCAGACTAAACACTAGAGGCTGGGAGCTTTTGCCAGTGAAGGTGAGGAGACTGCTGGTCATGGCCCAGAGCCACAAGGCAGATGAGGGGCTGGAATTTTCCTGAGATTCTATCTTGGCAACAACAGAACATCAATTGTGATATATTCTGGTGAAATCCTCTGGGCAGTTCTATACCTGTCTATAATCATAGAATTTGGATATGAATGCTAGTGCTCCACTATAGAAAATAAACACACATAACATCATTCTCCTAGGAAATTATGTTCTGTGAGTCACAGGTACTGTAAAGTCTCAAAAGCATAGTGTTCTCTGGCTTCCTATTACCACTGGCTGTAATGAATAATGGCATTGATTAATAAATCATCCCTGGTTAGCTCTGTCCCATGCAGGGTGCAGAGAATGTCAGCTTCTCAGCCCCCCCCCCCCCATAGGTCACAGAAACATGTCCCAGCAGTGAGTTGTGGAGTAGGAAGCAAAATCAAGTCTGTAGTAGCACCACCCTCCTAAATGCCAGCAATGCATTGAGGTCAGTGCCCAGAAGAGGATGTGTATGTACTCTTGGACTGGGCCAAAGATTAGTGTTTGTACCTTTCCAGTTTCCTGCTGGATGAGATCCTGCAGCTCTTGTGTCCAGCCCAGGAGGTCCACCAGTCTTTCCACACCCTGAACTACATCACCTAGCTGGGCCACATCCTTGCTACGAGGACTCCAAGCAAAGGACCCCACCAAGTCTCGATTGATGAGCAGTCGGGGCACTGACTTCTGTACTGCTTCAGACAAGCTAGCAAAAGGCTCCACCTGAAAGACAACCCAAAGCGAAACGCAGTATGTCCATGCACCATCAGGATATTGAGCACCACAGCTACTGGTACCTTGGGGCAGGAGACACGGCAGACACTGTGACACAAGAGCTTGCCACTTTGGTTTTTTGTTGTTTTTTTTTCCCCCCGAGACAGGGTTTCTCTGTGTAGCTTTGCGCCTTTCCTGGAACTCACTCGGTAGCCCAGGCTGGCCTCGAACTCACAGAGATCCGCCTGCCTCTGCCTCCCGAGTACTGTGATTAAAGGCGTGCGCCACCGCCGCCCGGCAAGCTTGCCACTTTGTTTAAGGCTTCTGTCCTCAGGTCTGGGTGACCTCTTTCCCATCTACAGCTTGCCTCTCTTCTGCTCAGTGTGCTAACACAAATCCTGACTTCTCCCCACACTCTATCCTTTCTCCCAGTCTGTGTGTTCTGCCTTCAAGCATCTTCCTTCTGCCTGCTCTGTCCATTCTATGACCTGGGCCCTGCTCTGAGCCTCTCCTATACACACTGATATCTACATAAAACTACTGTGGAACATTTATAGTGTGACACTTTATACACATTAATTATGTTGCCAATATAAAACACAAAAACGGGTGAGTGATAACAACTATGCAGAGAAAACTTGCCTGACATAGAGGAGCAAGCACCCTTTACCACTGTGCTACTGTCCCGCCTCCTGGGTCGCCCTCCGTCTCCAAAGGGCAATGCTGCCGTCATATTTCCGCACCCAGAATAACAGTATAGGAAATGTATCACTAAGGGGTAATATCAAGCCTGGCTCTTACCTAAGAGGAAAAAGATCAGTTCTCACCTTTTACTAAAGAAGTTTCAAATGTATTATGGATTTAAATGTAAACAAAACAGTTGTTGAGCAGGTATGGTAGTGGCAAACCTGCAATCCCAGCAGTCAGAGGTGGAGACAGGAGGGTCAGGTGTTCAAGGTCATCCTCAACTACACAGTATATTTAAGGTCACCTGGGGCCACATAAGACCCTCGCCTCAAAAAAGCAAAGTAAGGGACTAGAAAGCCAGCTCAGCAGCTAAGAGCATTTGCAGCTCTTGCAGAGGACTTGAGGACACGGCAGTTCACAACTGTGAATTTTTCTTATAGGTCCACAATTCCTTGTCGTACAACCCTTATGAATGGAAATGTTTCAGTTACTCTGTAACTTTCCAGGGTACCCTGTCCATGGATACCATGCACATGGGGTGTATATACATACATACAGGTGAACACTCATACACATAAAAATAATTTTTTTAAATAAGCAAAACAGGCCAAAAGGCCTCAATAACAAACAGTTCTTGAAGAAAATGTAAGGGAAGGCCATGATAGTTCAATGGGTTAGAAGCTTGCCACCAAACCTGACAACCTGAGTTTGATCCCCAGGACCCACTTGGTAGGAGGGGAGAACTGACTCCCACAAGTTGTCCTCTGGCGTACACATAAACAAATGTAAAACAAAAAAAATGGTTCTAAGAAGACATTAGGGTTTAGAGGTAAGGGTCGGGAAAGATGTTTTGGACCTGATAAGTGAGACAACGGAAAGAGAGTGGCCGTCAGCACTGCCGCCTGGTGTCCACATAAAACGACGGTGGGAAACATTTACAGTGACACTTCATACAACATTAACTATGCTGCTAATGTAAAACGCAAAGAAAAATCGGTGAGTGATACAACTATGCAAAGAAAACAAATGGTCAATAAACATGAGCAGAAATACAAGCTCTCACCCTATTTGTGGTGGGGAACTAGCCCAGGTTCTGTACAGCTAAGCTAGGAACCCACTGAGCCCCATCAGCAGCCCCATCGAACCTATTTCTCACTATTCACACTGGCAGCAAAGTAAAACAGGTCATTTGGTATTGGTGAAGACAGGAGAAAATGGGCCCTCGTGCACTAAATATCAGCATTGGTCCTGCAGAAGTATCTGTGTGAGTGTAAGCACACACAAGGATAGCCACCACAGGCAGACTTAATACGAAAATTACTGTTTGTCTCTACTGTCCATCAGTAAGAAACTGCCTACATAATTTTTCTTATAGGTCCACAGTTCCTTGTCTTACAACCCTTATGAATGGAAATGTTTCAGACCTCAGGATATTTCAGATTTTAGAAAAGATCATATGGTTTTATATACCATCATTACCAGATACAGTGGAGCTCCTGGGTGCTCCACAATCTAGCCCATTACTATTTTCTGCAGACATGGAATGCAGGACACTGCAGATTTGTCAGCTCACACTGGTAAGGAGTTGAGGCCTCTCCTGGCTGGGGCCTCACATTCACAGGGCACACCACTAGCACCATACTAGCAAGGCTGTTCTAAGTGGGTGTGCACACCATCCACTAACAACTATGAGATTATGGCTACATACAGTTGGGCCCCAGTCCATGGTCTAACCTCTTTACACCTTTTGGAAATTTCCTGGCATCCAGACTCAGGTGCAGACCAACTCCTTGTACACCTTGTACACCTCCAGTGGTCATCTCCCAGGAACCTCATACCCACATGCAGACCCCAACCCCACTGGTCCTCCGACCAGCTAAACTGATGATGCTGCAGCCAACCTTCTCCCACCAAAGGTCACTTCAGGACTGCCATCTGCTCTTCGTCCCGAAGTGCAGCTTTGTATCTGGATCAGTCCCTTCAGTCCTGCACCATAGCTAACCTTCTATACCCTTATGCCCTCCTACACAGCCACTGCTCCAAACCCTGAGATGTCACTGCCATTGACTCTGCTTACCTGAAAAGTTGACACTATCAACCAGGCCCTGCCCCCCCCATGGCCTCCACCCTCCCACCCATCCCCACATGCCTTGCAACAAACCTCCAGGGAGGTCCCAAGAATGAGGAGCAGGTCTGCCAAGGCGAAATCAGCCACGTGTAATAAGAACCTTGCAGGCAGCGGCTCCCCAAAGAACACAATGTCAGGTTTCACAATGCCAGTACAGACAGGGCAGCAGGGCAGCCTGTCTGCCATCACATCAGCCTAGGGAATCAGAGAGGAAGAACCAAGGAAAGTGACTTTAAAAGGGGGAAAAGGCAACAGCTTCTCGAGGAAACTGTAATGTCCAAAAGCTGAACTACGTAATAAACCCCAAGTGGCTTTAGCAATTTTTGTCAACTGTTTCTTATAACCCTCAACATTGGAGAGGGGTGAAATATTTCAAATCATGTCCTAGATGTCACCCAATTTTACCCACAATTCTCCTGTAGGTTCCCAGCCCTCAGACAGTGTTCTGTGGGCATCCCGCATACAGTGAGAAAGGCAGCATAAGCCGGTCCCCAGTTTGAGCTGAAGAGACCGGGGTACTGCTTCCACCCTAGGAGGCATTAAGGTCAGCTTCAGCTCACTGCTGGTATTGTCAGGAGTGACCACAGCTGCCAAACACTGCCTCCATGCAGGATGAGGTAAAGTAGATGGCAATTACTACCAATCACACCCACCCTGTCTCGCCCCAAACAGAAAAGGAGGCAATGTCACTTTCTGTTAAGGCACACAGAAGCATCCTTGTAAATAAATCTTTATAGCTAACTGAGTAGATTTTAGTGGAATAAATTCAGCAAGAATAAGTAGAAACAACAGCCCAAATAGGTCAGAAATTATCAGCTACAGATAATAAAACTATGGTGTTTAAATTAATAGGGGAAAAATTACCAGCTTGAAATATCTATTAAAAATATAAAAACTTTAAATGTCATGGATTTTTAAAAAATTACCAAATAGAACTTCTAGAAGTAAAAAGCAAAAGTAAAATCAACGAAAGGACTTTATCCTCTGTAACAGAACAGGGTGTTGAGTTTGAAACAGATCAGAAGAAATCACCCAGAATGCAACATGAGCAGTGACAGTGGCAGACACTGCGGAGTCACCACAACTGTCCCAAAGAAGGAGGGATACCCATCTCCTCAGAGTACCGTCCAGACCCGGAGGAAGAGGGCAGAAGTGATGAACATCTGGAGAGAGATTGGCTGGGGATTACCCTGCAATGCTAAAGACAGTCCTATGCTTTTCACGCAGAATAAATAAAAGGGGATCCATATGGAAACACAACACAGTGAAATTGCAAGTTCTTGAGGAAAACGTCAGAAAACATGATTAGCAAATGGATTCGGAACAGCCAGTACAGCATGGAAGGCGGAAGTGAAGCTGGAGACCTCCCAGATATTACGACTCTAAAGCCAAAGGTATCTAGACCGCTGAAGTGGTGAGAGAATAGAGGTGAGGGAAAGAGAAGAGAGCTCAGAACTGACACAAGCAACATCAACTGGTCTCTGACTAAAGAACATTTTCAACACACGTGCTGGAGCTCACATTCACATGCAACATGATGGACCTAGACAGACTTACATGCTTCATAAAAATCAAAGTCCATCAGAGACCTACATATAAAGAGAAAAACTAGAAGACGACATAGGAGAAAACCTACATGATCTCTAGTATGGCAATTAATTTTTAGATTCAACACCAAGGCAAACCCATGAAAGAAATAAGGATGATGTAATATCAAAATTAAGAGTTTCTAGTCTGAGAAAGACACAGTAGAAAGAATGAGGAGAAAAGCCATGGCCTGGGAAAAATACTAACAAACTATAATGAACTACTAACTAAAACATACAAAGAACTCTTTTATTACATTTTTTATTATTTGTGTATATGGGGCTGGGTGCCCATGTGCCAGCTGGTATGTGAAACTCAGGACAACCTGTAGGAAATGGTTTTCTCCCTCAGCATGTGAGTCCCAAGGATCGAACTCAGATTGTCAGGCTTGGCAGCAAACACCTTCACCTTCTGTGGTACTTTGAATAAGCAATGACCCCCATAGGGCATTTGAACAACTGATCCCTAGCTGGTGGTGCTCTTGGGGAAGCTTAGGAGGTGCAGGCTGGCTGGAGGAAGTAAGGCAGTGGAAATAGGCTTTGAGAGCTAGCTCCTCACCCTACTTCCACTTTGCTCTCTCTACTTCATGCTTGTCTTTGAAGACGTGAGCTTTCAGCTTCCTATTCCTGCAGCCATGCCTGCTGCTCGCTGCCATGTGTCCCCACCATGATGGACTCTTATCCCTCTGAAACCATAAGCAAAAACAAACTCCTCTTTTGTAATTTGCCTTGGTCATAGTAATTTATCACAGCAAAAGAAAAGTAATAATGTACCTGCTGAACCATCATCCTGCTAGCTCTACAATGAACTCTTAAAGCTCAGTGTTGTAGGATATTTGTACATTGTGTGAAAGTGTATTGCTGTGATTAGTGTAATAAAAATCTGAACAGTCAATAGCTAGGTAGGAGGTATAGGCAGGACTTCTGGGCAGACAAAGGAAGAGGAGGACATAAAATTTAAAAAAAAAAGAAAAGGATCAATTTTTGAAAAGAGCAAAATACAGCTGGGTGGTGGTGGCATCTACCTTTAATCCTAGCACTCAGAAGGCAGGTGGATCTCTGAGTTCGAGGCCAGCCTGGTCTACAGAGCAAGTTCCAGGACAGCCAGAGCTACACAGAAAGAACCTGTCTCGAAGAAACAAAAAACAAAACACACACAAAAAAAGAAAATAGCAAAATACATGGACACCTCCCCAAAGAATAAAAGTTGACAAATGACTTAAGATGTTCACCATTAAAGACTATTAAGGAAACACAAATTAAAGCAATGAGATATCACTGCACACCTGAACAGATATCTAACCCAGATCCTGAACATGGATAACAAAAGATACTGATAAGGACATGGAACAGTAGGGGTTCTGGCTGCTGATTGTAATGCACAATATCATAGCCACTTAAGACAGCTGGGGTGTGTGTGTGAGAGAGAGAGATGTTGGAAACTGAACCCAGGGCCTCACATGAGCTAGTTAAGCTCTCTAAGCTATAGCCACTACACATACCTATATATATATATGGTCCTAGTTCTTATAAAACTAAACACACTGTTACTATGATCCAAAAATTGTTTGATATTTACCCAAAGAACCTGAAAACTTACGTCCACACAAAACCTGCATAAAGCAATTCATATCCTTGAAATTAAGCATTCATATCACTAGCAGAGTGGATAAACCATGGTACATCTAGACAAATTGCACATTACTCAGAACAAATAAGAAGTCAGCTGCCAGGCCAGGAAAATACAAGGAAGAAACAAATACACACTGCTAAGTGAAAGAAGCCAGTATGAAAGGCTGCACACTGTATGATCCCAATTTTATGACACTCCAGAGAACTTACAGAACAGTAAGAAAGTAAGACCAAAATTGCTAGGGGTTGGGGTGGGTGAAGGATAAGCAGAACACAGAGGAGACTGACAGGAGTACTGTGTATGATGCCATAATGATGGATACTTGTCTCTACACATTTATCCAAACCCATAGAATAGACCACACTAAGGTTACTGTGGACTCTGGGAAGAGTGTTATCAATGTGGGTTCATCGGCTGCAGGTAACTGAGTTTGGTGTAATGTTGACAGTCATGGAAGCTGTATGTGTATGAGTACAGGTATCTGGTAACTATCTGTACTTTCTACTTAATTTTGCTAAAGCTCTAAAAAAACAAAACAAAACAAAACAAAAACTTATCTCCAAAGGCTATGTGTAGAGGATTGTGGGGCTATTGGGAGGGGGTAGACCTGTAGAAGGTAGGTCTAGCTAGAGTCTCAGGTCATATGTGAAGGGACCAGTATTCAGCACAAGACACCCCAAGACCAAGTTCTCAGCACAAAGGAGATTTATTTTCCCAGAAGGACAGAGGGCAGGGGATAAGAGAAAAAGACAAAAGATAGAGGAGGAGGGAGAAGGGGAAGGGAACAAGGGGGAGGGGGAAGGATATTGGACCCAGAGGGACAAAGGACTGCCTCTGGATAGAGAAGAGACAAATGTGGCACACAAAAAAAGTGACAATTTATAAAGGTAAAATGAGATACCCTGTGTTAGGATGAGTTGGTTTGTTTTAATTGGGCATATTAATTAGGACAACCAAAAGGGGGCTTTTGATTGTTGGACTTCAGTACTTTGATAGCTGGACCTTGGTAGTCAGCTTTGGGGGAGGAAGTGGCCAAATAAAGGAATAGATGTTGGTGGCTAGCTTTAGGAATGTAATCTAACAGTTTTTAGCAAGGCAGAGGGAATGGGGAAGGGCAAGGCCTGCCAGAGCCATGTCTAACATGCTCAAGCTGGCTGGAGTCCCTTCAATAGGAACATGCCCTCAAAGGGATAGTGGACTCCTTCCTCTTCCTTTTTCCTTTCCTTCCTAACCATGGGATGAGCAATTTTGTACCAGACACTCTCACACCAGGATTTGCCACCTTGCCACAGGCCCAAGACATGGACCAGTAGACATGGACCAGAATCTCTGAAACTGGGATCCAAGATAAACCTTTTCTGAGTTTATTATCTCAGGTATTTCTTGCAGTAACAGAAAGCTGACATGACCATCCTAAAACTTGTTAAAATTCCTATTTCATGGGCTGGAGAAATGGCCTAGTGCTTAAGAGCACTTGTTGCTCTTACAGGGGTGACTCATAACCATTTGGAACTCTAATTCCAGGGGATCCAATGTCCTCTTCTGATTTCTGTGGGCACAGGGCACACACATGGTACACATGCATGCATGCATACAAACACACACACACACACACACACACACACACACACACACACACACACGAAATAAAAAAAAATTCAATTCATATTTCCTTGCTACAAGCTACAGTAACCAAAAAGCAATGTGATACTGGCATTAAAAAAAAAAAAGACACAGATCAATAGATCAGAAAAGGCAGCCCCCAAACAAATCCTTACATACATAATCAATACTTTTTTTTAAAATGGCATCAAGCCTATTGTGGGGGTGGGGGGAATACGGTTTCATCCACTATGATAGCTGGGCATGGTGGTACACATCTTTAATCTCAGAATTTAGGAGGCAGAGGAAAGTGGATCTCTGTAAGTTCAAGGCCATCCTGGTCTATACAGAAAGTTCCAAGCCAGCCAGGGCAACATATTGAGACCCTGTCACAAAAGGGTTGAGGGAAGCTAGAGAGATAGAGAAATTAAAAGCATTGGCTGCTCTTCCAAAGGACCTTCGTTTGATTCCCAGCACCCAGGTGGTGGCTCACAACCTGTCTGTAACACCCTCTTCTAGCCTCCTTGGGCACCATGCACAGACATACATGTCGGTAAAACATCCATATGTATAAAATAAATAATAATATAAAATTTTAAGTGCTGAAAAAAGTGGATAGCCACATGGGAAAGAATGACTTTTGTCAAAGAAGAAAGTCACAGTTGAACAGCACTGATTGTGAGCCTTAAAGTAGAATATATGACTTGTAAAGCCAAGTGTCAGGCATGTGTGGAGATGAACTATAGGCTGAGGCTGCTTGCACTCACCAGCACATGCAGACCTCATGAACTATGCCAAACCATGGCTTCATCTTGAGACAGTTCAACTTCTGCACACCAGTCACAATCCCAAGTAAACCCCCTGAGAGTAAGCTATGAAAGCAGTCACCATTGTGGGACATTCTCGACCTTCTAAATTGTCTTTGAGACCACAATACTAATAAGTTCCATATAAATGTAATTCTTTGTTACAGACTGGATTGACTTTATCTCATCTGACAAGTTGGAACCATATATATATATGGTTTACACAAAATATATATAATATATTACACAAAATTAATCAAAATGGATCAAATTCATAAATATAAGAGCTAAACATTTAAACCCTTATAAGAAAACACAAAAAAGCTATGATAAATGCCAAAAACATAACCAACCAAAGGAAAAATACCCGACAACATTAAAGCCACAAAGCTCTGTGCAAGGTGGACAATGTCAGTAGAGGCACAGCAGTGCAGTAGACAATAGGTAGGATGTAAATGGTACAGCCTCTGTGAAAAAGTTCAATGAGACCTCCAAAAAATTAAGAGGTAGGTTTACCACAGGACACAATTTCACACCTAGGAATATAATGAAAAGAATTGTAAGCAGAGTCTCAGAGAGAGATCTGCACACCCACAGTCATACTCTCAATAACCAAAAAGTAGGAGCAACCCAAGTATACACCAACAAATGAATATAACTGTAAAACACACTCGGCTGCAGAATGGAATGTTATCAAACTTTTAGAAGGAAGGAAAGTCCAACACATGCTACGAGATGGTGAAATCTGAAGACATTACACTCTGAAACTAGCCAGTCACAAAAGGACAGGCACTGACTGACTCTATGATCCAGTTCCCAGGTGACAAGAGAAGGAACATTACCACAGGCTCAGGGGAAGCTGGCGTTTAACAGCTATAGAGTTTCTGGATGGTATGATAAAGATTATTCCAGGAATATATGGCAGTACTGGATGCAGAACATTAAGAATATACTTAATACCTTGGAATTACACTTAAAAATTACTAAAATGGGGACTGAAGAGATGGTTCATGGTTAAGACCACTTGTTGCTCTTGCAGAAGACCTGAATTCAATTCCCAGAACCCACATGGCAGCTCACAACTGTCTGTAACTCCAGTCTCAGGGCACCCAATGCCTTCTTCTGACTTCCACAGGCTCCTGCACCCATGTGGTGCACATGTATACACTCAGGCACACACACATATATACAAAATAAATATTTTTAAAATTATTTGAATAATGACTTTTGTGTTATATGTTTACCACAATGAAACATCTTAAAGAAGATTTTTATGAGGTTTTTTTTTTTTTGAGAGAAAGAGAGAGAGAGAGCTTCACTATGTAGTCTAGTTTACCCCTGAGCTCATAATCCCCCAGCTTCTAGCCCTTGAATGCTAGAATTACAAGTATATACCACAACTCAGGTAGGAAAAATATTTGAAATGTGAACCAAAGAAAGTATGTACATGTTCGTTATTACTAAGAACACAAAGAGATTCTATAGCTTTGGTCACAGCATTCTTCTCAGTACTATGACCAATGCCTGGCAGAGCAACTTAAGGGATAAAACTCACAGTCTGAACAGGATTTCAGTTCATCGTGGCACCAGGATTAGCTCTCTGGTAGTTTGAAAATGGCCCCATAGGCTCATAGGGAGTGGCACTATTGGGAGGTGTGGCCTTGTTGAAGTAGGTGTGACACTGTTAGAGGAAGCATGTCACTGGGGATAGGCTTTGAGGTTCCAGAAGCTCAAGCCAAGCCTAGTGTGTCTCAGTCTTTTCCTGCTGCCTGGTGATCCAGATGTAGAACTGTCAGCTACCTCTCCAGCACCATGTCTGCCTAAGTACCACCATTCTTCCTGCCATGATGACAATGGACTAAACCTCTGAACTGTAAGCCAGCCCCAATTAAATGCTTTCCTTTATAAGAGTTGCCGTGGTCACAGTGTCTCTTCACAGCAATAAAAACCCTAACTAAGACAGGCTTCATTTGTGAAGACAGGAATGTATGGCTGCTGCTTTTCATATTGTGGCCAACTAGGAAGCCAAAAGCAAAGGCCAGAACCTGAAGCTGGTATAGCCTTCAAAGGCCCACCCAAGCGACCTATGTCTGTCAGCCAGGCCTCATATCCCAAAGGCTCTACAACCTCCTCACACAGCGGCACTGACTGCAGACTGGGTGTTCAAACGTACAGCCCTGGGGGGACATTTGCTTTCAACTGTAACAGCTTCCAAACTGATGTCCTAGAAAGGAACGGAAGAATGGAGAAAGGAAAGGAAAGAAATGATAAACGCTTCAAACAAGTTGTCAGGCCTGGTGAAACAGAAAGCACAGCTACTGTAAATGACTCTTTGGACCTTACAGGAAAGTATTGTGCCTATGAACTCACATGGACGCATGCATGTGGAAGGCAGAGGGAGATGCCCAGCACCTTCTTCAGTCACTCTCCACCATACATATGTGTGCATGTGTGTTTTGAGACAGGGTCTCTCTCTAGTCCTGGCTGTCCTGGAGCTCAATAATGTAGACCAAACTGGCCTTGAACTCACAGAGATCTGCCTGCCTCTCTCTCTGCCTCAAGTGCTGGGATTAAAGGCGTGTGCCACCACTCCTGGCTCCACCTTATGTTTTGAGACAGAGTCTTATCAACTGCAGCTCACCAGTTAGGCTAGGCTGACTGGCTAATGAGCTCCACGGATACACCTGTCTCCACCCACTCAGCCCCGGGGTCACAACTTTTACAAGGGTGTTGGGGATCTGAACGCAGGTCCTTGGGCTTAGCAGAGCTAGTCTAGCTCTCAGCTTGTTCTAGGACTCTGAGATTACTGGTGGGCTGGCACACCTGCCCAGCGTTTATATGGCTAGCACGTTATCTACTCATCCCTCTCCCTATACCCTCCTGTATTGTTTTTAATAGCAAAAATTAGGAACATTAAAAGTGCCTTATATACGTAACGAAAGAGGACAGGCCCCAAAGCTGCACAGGAAAACTCTGTCTCAAAAAACAAAGATAAGTAACAAAAGGAGTAAACAGGGCTCAGATGTCAACACCAGACACCCACTAAACTGCACAGGAGTGTAGAGAACTTAGAAAACGTAAGAGGAGTCAATGAATAATTTTAATATTTGTAGGTGTGTATATATGTGCATGCATGTTTATATGTACATATAATATCTCACATTAGCCACCAAATCATGAAAGGTAAGCAATAGGTAAGTTAAAAGGAGATTCTTTTTTTTTTCTTTTTTTTGTGGGGGAGGGAGTTTGAGACAGAGTCTCACTATGTAGTTCTGGCTGTCCTGGAACTCACTGTGTAGACCAGACTGGGCTCGAACTCTCAGAGATCTGCCTATTTCTCCCTAAGTGCTGGGATTAAAGGTGTCCACCACCACACCTGACTTGGGAGTTTCATTTTCCCTGTATGTTTCTGACTTGCATTTTGGGGATAGAGGGAGTGCTGGCATTGGAACCCAGGGCCTTGTGTATGCTACGCAAGCATTCTACCATTGAGCTGCATCCTCATCCAGCCTTAGTTCTTCTACAAGTATGTATTTTTTTTAAATTAAAAATAAAAGAGCTAGGCATGGGAGAGCACATCCTTAATCCCAACAGAAGCAGGTAGATCTCTGAGTTCCAGGCCAGCCTTGTCTAAATAGTGAGTCCCTGTCTCAAACAAACAAACAAAAGCCAGGCTGGTGACATATAATCAGCACTGGGGAAGCAGAGACAAGTGGATCCCTAGGGTTCCCTGGCAGCCAGCCTAGATAACTTGTTGAGTTTCAGACCACTGTGAGCATCCTGTTTCAAAAACAAACAAATAAACAAGCATAAAATACCACTATTATAGATCTCCACCCCCCAAGGACTGCAGAAGGCAGAGACCACTTCATGAGGTAACTCACCCACATGTCCTCCCCCGGGAAGGACCTTCGACAGACCGTACATGTAGCTGATGCAAAGGACCCATGAGCTTCAACCAGCTTTGAGGCAGGGATACCAGATGCTGCAATTCAAACCAAAGCTCAGTGTTGCAGCCCCTGGGATGGCTAAGCAAGTACACAAGCACAACCTCTGGGCTTGACAAAACCAGGTTTCCAAAAACTGCATGGCTGGTAATCAAAGCAGCTTCTCAGTCGGGTGTGGTGGCTCCCGCCCGGAATCCTAGCTGATGCTAAAGAACTGAGAGTTAGGAAATGAGTAACCGAGCTAGTGAAGAAGTCAGGGCCAGCATGGGCAATAGCAGAACCTTCTCCTCAGCATAACTGAGCTAGTGAAGAAGTCAGGGCCAGCATGAGCAATAGCAGAACCTTCTCCTCAGCCAAAGATTCTCATCAAGTTCATTGCTATTTGCTAACTGCAGTGCTGAACCCCAAAGCCAGGAAATTCCTACCTTCCCCCCAAACCTGTCCTCTGTTTGGGGGAAAGGCAGCCTTGGTGGGATAGCCACCGCTCTCTCTGTGCTTCTGAGCTGTAGATTCCTCCTCAGAGGAAGCCTGTCCCTGGAGTAAGGTGCTGCATTCTTCAGAGCACATCATCCCTGCAGACAGCAGGGTGGCTGCTGTTCACCAGCTACTGTCATGGATGCAGAGTGCATCTTGGGAAAGCACCAGCAAGTTCTCCCTCATTGCTGCTGTCACTTCGTGACTGAAATGTTGGTGGTTCCTCAGCATAAGGGCACCAGAGCTAAGCTTTAACAAGGCTGTCTCTTCCAGAGCTAGCTAGACACTGTTTCTATGTCAACGCTACGATGTGAGGATCTGCCTGAAAGCAACCTGAGGATGAGAGAGGAGGTGGGGAGAACAGACGACAAGGCCTGGCCATGTGTCGGTAAGGGACACTGAGGGAAAGGACATAGGCGTCCTTAGGAGGGAGGGAGGCAGAGAGGGCAGGAAAAGGGGAGAGGGGAAAGGAAGAGGGGTAAAGAGAGAGAAAGAGATCCACACCAGATTCAAAATAATAGGAACTTTAGTTCCATCCAAAACTCAAACCCAGAAGGTGTGTGGGAGACAGGCCTATAGAGAGGTTTGGCTGTGGCCTCAAACACAGAAGCAGTAAAGGCATAACCAGCTGCCTGGCACCAGTCCCAGGGATGGCAGATAAACACTGGGCCACAGACAGTCCTCCTTAGAAGCACGCACAGACATGCAAGGAACAGAAGGCTCACTCACCTCTCTCAAGCCCATCGATGTTCTGTGTGTAGAGCCGCAGAAGCAGCTCCTTGTCGTGGAGCAGTCGAAGGAAGTAGTGAGTGACATTAGGCCTGTAGTGCCCAGGGTACAGCTCCTTGGCCAACGTGAAAAAGGGCTTGGGGTTATGAAAGAAAAAGCCAAGTTCGAAGATGGCCTCAGGATATGGGATGTTATACTGCTGGAGGTTGCTGTAGAGGCCACTCCCTGGGGATCTGTAGAGACAGAAGGGGAAGGCTGAGCCCTGCAGAAGAGAGGGGGGAAATGACATCAGAGGGAACTACGGCAGTGTACCTGAAGTCCGGGATGCCACTGGGTGTGCTGATGCCGGCCCCCACCATGACCACGACCCTCTGGCAGGCTCTGGTCCGAAGCAGCTCAGCTACATCCTGCAGAGACAGCTTCACCTTCTCATTGTTGCCCCCACATCCAAAGCCGACTGAGGCTCCCACAGAAAGGGATATGGGCCTTCTCCCACCTGTAACACTGACAGCAAGAGCACAGAAGACAGGCAGCAGGTGGCCATCAGTCTTATGCTAGCAAGAGTGAGTACAGCTGTACTCTTCCCACCATCCAAGGTGGAGGTGCACTTCTCTCTAGTGTCATCCAAATCTCTCGCCATGCATAACTACCAACTAAAGCAGAAGGTCGTCTTGTATCAGAAATTGAGATTTACTTGGGGGCAAAAAAAGAAAAAGAAAAAGAAAAAGAAAACCCTTCCGGTTTATAGACACTGCATGCACCAGGGAAGCAGCGCCACAGCCCCATCATCAGAGGTGTGAGCTGGGGTGCTCTGAAAAGGCCACAGCTTGGACGGTTCTGCAGACTGACAAGTTAGAACCTTAGAGTTGCAATGTTGCAGATCAAGAGCTAAACTTACCTTGGGCTATCTTTTTAGACCCTTGGATAGGATACCTAACATCCTTTTGATTATGAAGTAAGACCTTTGGAATGTATTGACTTCGAAGAACACAAGCTTCCACTATCCCAGGAGCTAAAGATGTCATTAGATAGTATCTGAAACCTATAGTAGAGACTTACTGGTTGGCTGTAACTCACCTACCTGATGTCCCCATCAATATATTCAGTAAATAAACTAATTTCTGACTGTCTTATGTTCTGTGATTAAAAGTTTGTATAACTCCTTCCATGAGAGAGATTTTACCTGGAGTAACCTGATTCTGTATTTCCACGGCATGGCCACTCATACTGGGCTCAGAATAAACTATGCCTTATTCCCTTTGAAGCAAGAGCTGTGCTTTGTGTAGACAGTATACGCACTCAATGTGAGACACCGCCCCCTCCTGGGATGATCCAGTCTCATCAGAGATCAGCACCAAGTGCCATATTGGGCCTTCTGTGCCCAACCATCTGTGTCACCTCCTCGGGTAGACGTGTGAGAGTGTCCAGAGTCTAGACCTGCTTTTGACTGACTGATGGTCCACTGGCCTGTCTGAGTACTGGACTGGGTAGCCTCTTGCTGACTGATGATGGTCCACTGGCCTGTCTGAGCACTGGACTGGGTAGTCTTGCTGACTGACTGATGGTCCACTGGCCTGTCTGAGCACTGGACTGGGTAGCCTCTTGCTTTTGACTGACTGATGGTCCACTGGCCTGTCTGAGCACTGGACTGGGTAGTCTTGCTGACTGACTGACTGATGGTCCACTGGCCTGGGTAGTCTCTTGCTGACTGATGATGGTCCACTGGCCTGTCTGAGCACTGGACTGGGTAGCCTCTTGCTTTTGACTGACTGATGGTCCACTGGCCTGTCTGAGCACTGGACTGGGTAGTCTTGCTGTTGCGGAGCATCTGTAATAGAGCATTCATCAGAATCTGTTTCCCAGCATTCACACTTTTTCTCCCAGAACTCCAACCCTTTTAAAATTTTTATCCTATTTATTTGTTTGTTTGTTTGTTTGTCTGTCTGTCTCTTTCTTATTACAACCTGGTCCCTCTCCTCCACCACAGCCTTCTCTCTCCTCTACCACTGTCTCCTCCCTCCTTCCTGACTTTGCCTCTTCTTTTTTGTTTGTTTGTTTGTGTTTTTCAAGACAAGGTTCTCCTGGCTTTACTGGATCTCGCTCTGTAGACCAGGCTGGCCTCAAACTCACAGAGATCCTCCTGCCTCTGCCTCCAGAGGGCTGGGATTAAAGGTGCGCAGCAGCACCACCGCCTGGCGTCTCTTCCTTCATTATCACCCTTTCCTGTCTTATCCAGTAACCTCCAAGAGGAAGAGAATTCTGTATCAGGGCCAGTGTGGCAGTACACCCCTTTAATCCCAGTGCTCGGGAGGCAGAGGCAGGCAGATCCTGTTATTTCCAGGACAACCAGGACTAAATAGAAAGACTCTGTCTCAGAAAGCAAAAAATTCCATATCAAAGGAAAAGATTGTTATAACCTCCATGGTGGTTTGAATAAAGATGGCCTCCATAGGCTCATATATTTGAAGGAGTGGCACTACTTGAGAAAGATTAGGAGATGTGGCCTTGTTGCAGGAAGTATGTCACTGGGGGTGGGCTTTGAAGTTTCAAAAGCCCATGCCAGGCCCAGTCTCTCTCTGTTTTCGGGTCAGGATGAAACTCTCAGCTTCTTCTCCAGCACCGTGTCTGCCTGCATGCCACCATGCTCCCTACCATGATGATAATGGACTAAACCTCTGAAACTGTAAGCCAGTCAGTCCCAATTAAATGTTTTCCTTTGTAAGAGTTGCCATGGTCATGCTGTCTCTTCACAGAAATAGAACAGTGACTAAGACAACTTCTTTTAGGATCATGCCTGTGTGCAAAGAACAATTGTGGAAAAAGTGGGTAGAGTTCTTGGACTCATACCACAAAACAGAATCCAGAATCCAGAAATAGACCCCACAAAGTGATTTGATTTGCAACAAAGTATCCAGTGCTTTTCAATGGGGAAAGGTCTGTTGTGTTGCTGTGGTTTTATATTTAAATGCTGGAATAATTAGATATCAATATGAGAAAAAAATCACATTTGACACCCTCCTTCACCATATACAAAAACTGATTTGAAATAAGCTAAGCACATTGGCATATCCTGTAATCATGGCTACTTAGGAGGCTGAGGCAGATGAGCCACTTAAGACTAGGAGTCCAGCCATCAGCCAGGTGGCGGTGGCTCACGACTTTGATCCCAGCACTCGGGAGGCAGAGCCAGGTGGATCTCTGTGAGTTCGAGGCCAGCCTGGTCTACAGAGCGAGATCCAGGATAGGCACCAAAACTACATGGAGAAACCCTGTCTCGGGGGGTGGGGTGGGGTGGGGGAGACTAGGAGTTCAAAGCCATCCTTAGCAATATGGCAAAATCTCATCTCAAAAGATAATGCATCATAGTGTAGAACAAAAAGATTTCTAAGAAAAATCACACAGGAATCTCTTTATGAACTTGGGATTGCAAAGAATTGCCAACTATATAAGAAAATAACAATAAAATACACCCCTCAAAAAAATAAAAAGATAAAGCCTAGAGGAAGAAAACCTGGAATGGAATTTTTGATTATGGGTTTCCTAATACATATCAGGACTCCCTGGGATTTGCTGAAGAATTTCAGATCATCATTGCCTAATTCAATTACTGACAAGGCAGATGGACAACTTCATTGGGCAGATGGGAGAAAGCCTCCTTTGAAGACTGTAGAAAGACAGATGCTGATGCTAAGGATGCCTGTTAACAGAGAGGAAGTCACTCTGTGCTGCATGCTGTAGTATCAAAGATATTCCTACAAGGATGTGATAGATACCATGAAGCTTAAAGAACATTAAAAAGCTCAGACTTTACACCATTATGTAACCAGGATAAAAATGAGGATCCAGGAGTCACCAGCCAGACACAGAGGAAGTAAGATGAGAATGCTGCACTGGGAAAAGAATTTTCTGGGCAGTGGTGGTGCACGCCTTTAATCCCAGCACTCGGGAGGCAGAGCCAGTTGGATCTCTGCAAGAAACAACACCAGTTCGACCAAGAACCTCTAGTGGACCAAGACTATCAATCAGAACAAGAGAGGCACCTTCAGACACAGACACCGCCTGCACCGAGCAGAGGAAGAGATGAGTAGACGCCAGTGCAAAAATACAGGCAACAACATAAAGACCTATATGACAACATCAGAACGTAGCAATTCTACACCTGCAAGACCTGAACATACCAAAGAGAAGAAGCAGAAGAAATCAATCAATCAATCAGAAAAATGACTTTAAGAAGATGATTGAGGGGCTGGAGAGACGGCTCAGTGATTAAGAGAACTGGCTGCTCTTCCAGAGGTCCCGAGTTCAATTCCCAGCACCCACATGGTGGCTCACAACCATCTGTAATAAGATCTTGTGCCCTCTTCTGGTGTACAGACATAATGCAGGCAAAATACTGTATACATAATAAATAAATAAATCTTTAAAAAAAAAAAAAAGATGACAGAGGCCCTTAAAGAGGAAATGAAAAACTCCCTTAAAGAGGAAATAAAAAATTCCCTTAAAGAAATGGAAGAAAAAATTGAGGATCCAGAGATGACTCCAGAAAGAAACATCCATACCATGAGAGCTAGGGGTACTGCTGCAGATAGCACATCAGGGCTGTGATGATATATTGTGCACCCTAATAAACTTGTCTGAGGATCAGAGGACAGAGCCAGCCACTAGGTTAGACAAAGAGGTCAGGCATGGTGCCACACACCTTTGATCCAAGCACTTGAGATCTCATGCCTTTGCTTGGGAAGCACACAGGCCTTTAATCCCAGGAAGTAATATGGCAGGGCAGAGAAAGGTATACAAGGTGTGAGGAAACAGGAACTCTCTCTTTAGGCCAGGATTTTGTAGAGGTAAGAACTAGTGGCTGGCTGTTTTGCTTCTCTGATCTTTCAGCTTTCACCCTGATATCTGGCTCTGGGTTTTGTTTTGTTTTTTGGGTTTTTTGTTTTGTTTTGTTTTTGTTTTTTCGAGACAGGGTTTCTCTGTGTAGTTTTGGTGCCTATCCTGGATCTCGCTCTGTAGAGCTGGCCTCGAACTCACAGAGATCCACCTGGCTCTGCCTCCCGAGTGCTCTGGGTTTTTTATTAAAAGACCATCTAAGCCAGGCAGTGGTGGCGCACACCTTTAATCTCAGCACTTGAGAGGCAGAGCCAGGAGGATCTCTGTGAGTTCAAGGCCAGTCTGTTTTACAGAGCAAGTTCCAGGACAGGCTCTAAAGCTACACAGAGAAACTCTGTCTCAAAAAACAAAACAACAACAAAAAAGGACCATCTAAGATTCAAACAACACAGGGCAGCTTCCATGACTCAGCAATCAAACCTATACAATCAAGCAAGACCATGGCATCCAGCAAATCAAGACTCTTCCCACACAGCTCTAAAAGGGCTCTAGGGTCACCTTCAAATGCCAGAATATAGTAAGAGGAGTATGAACTCATTTTTCAAAGGAAGAGTATACAGAAGGCAATGTACAAATGATGGGCTTCAATGATGCCTCAGGAGGTTTTTCATTCAGGAAAAATACGAGTTTAATAATCCCAGCACTCAGAAGGCAGAGCCAGGTAAATCTCTGTGAGTTAAAGACCAGCCTGGTCTACAAAGCAAGTTCCAGGACAGCTAAGGCTACACAGAGATACCCTGTCTTAAAAAACAAAACAAAACAAAACAAAAAAAGAATTAGTTGGATGTGCTGCCGAATGCCTTTAATCTCAGCACTCATGAGGTAAAGGCAGGAAGATCTCTGAGGGTTCAAGGCTAGCCTGGTCTACATAGTGAGTTCCAGGACAGCCAGGGCTATGTAAAGAGACCCTGTCTCAGAAAAAGCAAAAAACAAACAAGCAAAAAAGTTGTAAGAATCAAAACTCTAAAAAAAATTATTTTATCGCCTTGTTCTGCAACCAAAAAATGAGAAATTAATGAGGCAAAGAGGTGGATCTCTGTAAAAAAAATTGAAACATATCTTACATAAATAAGGGAAAACATTAGTTTATTAATGTATTGAGAGCTATTATAAATTGAATAGGACAAAGCACCAAAATCCCAATCAAGTATTAAAATGTATATAAGCTCTAAGTAAGGAATAAAGACCAAAAATATAGTCACTGAAAAGTCTTGGGTTTGTGGTTCAGAGGGGACATTTTGTAGGAGATTAAATCCTAGAGTTATTAACACCATGAAAAGACAAGATGATGGAAGAACTGTGAGAGAATTCTGGCCCATAAAGCATAGTGGGGGTACCTTCTTACAGGTTTTAGGGGAAGATGGAAGTCCCATGCCACGTGGTCAATGAATCAATAGTATGTGACTTATATTCAGGTTGAGTCTTATTCCCAAGCAGTAGGGGAGGATGAGAATGTCTTGCATTGTAAAGAAATGTGTGAGTCTGAGGATGTGGGAGAATTGGTTTAAGGGGCCCACTTAATTAATACATATTCATTGTACAGGATGTATCTTTGGTACTCTGGGATAGATTGGAATCTGGTAGTGTGCGGCCTGTACACAGAATCAATTATGAGAGCAGACAGACACAGCTACAAATGGGCATGACTTGAGCATTATGTAGCCCTGGTTTTAACAATTCCAGCTTTTTGTTTATACATAAAGAAACAGCAGGATAATTTATGAGGGAAGAGATAGAGAGGCTTTGGGGGGTACCAGGCACAGTATTCAATTTCTGGCCTCTTCCCATTGGCAACAAGAGTATATAAATGATGCGATGCCTAGAAATTTAACTGGAAGAAAAGCTAGAGCCCCTGGCATCCATGTAAAAACCAAGTGTGCCTTGGAACAGGGGAGACAAGATCCCTGGAGCTCGTTGACCAATCAACCTAGCCAAATTGGTAGGAGACCATGTCTCATAAAACAAGGTAGGGGGCTGGAGAGATGGCTCAAAAGTTAAGAGCACTGGCTGCTCTTCCTGAGGACCCAGTTTCAATTCCCAGCATCCACATGGCAGCTCACAATTATCTATAACTCCAGCTCTAAAGGATCTGATGCTTCTGTGACTTGCATCCATGTGAACACACCCATGTGCAGACACACACACAACCACATATAACTAAAAATAATAAAATTAAAAATTAAAGAAAGGTAGAGAGGCTGGAGAGCTGGCTCAGCAGTTAAGAGTATACACTGCTCTTCCAGAGGACCTAGTTTAAACTTCTAGTACCTACATGGTGATTCACAACCACCTGTAACTCCAGTCTCAGGGGATCCCATGCCCCCTTCTGGCCATGACAGGCACTGCATGCTTATGGTGCATAGACATACATGCAAGGAAAACACCCATACACATAAAATACATAAACTTTTTTAAATGATTTTTTAAAAGGCAGAAAGTGATTGAGAAAGACTTCCTACACCAATCTATGGCCTCCACAAACACACACATGTATCCACTCACATGAATACACACACACACACACACACACAAACATGCACGTACACATGCACGCACAAGAAAAGCAATATAAACAACACAGAACCTGCAACCTGGTCTGAAAATGCCCCCACTAAATTCTGCAGCCAGAGAAACACTGGGCACTGCACTGCAGCTTCACATAGCCCTGGAAGGTTCCTGAGTCTACAGCCTTGACTCAGGGCTTCCTTGGTATCTAACCAAGTTGCAATGTCTCCATCACCATGGCAATCTGCCCTGAATTCAGGACCACAGCCTCAGGCCACAGAAACTTCCTCACACCCTGAGAGCTGGGACATTGGGTCAATCCTGCCATCAGATGGCCCTAGTAACCAGTATAGAGACCTCCTCACACTGGTTGGAACAGATTAAACAGATCAAATTGACCTTCCTCAAATAAATGACTAGTCTAAAGTTAATACAGACACAAACAGGCAACTAAGAGTGTGTCTTTTACTCAGTACAAGAAATGAAGACGCTAGAAGTACATCTTCAGACAGGACATGTCTTCAGACAGAAGCTGTCTTCTAGCAGGATGACCTCAACAGTGTCTGCTCGTGTCACGCTCTTTGCCTGCTTTCCCAGAAGCTCTCCTCACACCATTGCCATTCTAGTGATAGCTTTAACCCCTCATTTTAGCCAAACAAAAGGCTTCTCTGTTTTCATGTCCTAAATCTTAGTGGTTCTAAGTAACCCTTTTCCCATCCAGCATATTCTGCCTAAGAAGCATGGTCTCCATTTCAGAGTACCATAATTCGATAATGTTAAATGCTTGCTTAATTCCAAGGACAATCTTTGGCCCTCCTCTTGAAGGCAACAGTGCTGGCTCCCTCTCCTGTTAGGGTGCCTGTGGGCTCTCCCCTCTATGCAGCTGCAGTACACAGCTGCCCTATCTATACAGGGCGTGTTCAGTTATCCAGCAAGCCAGGAGGAATCCTCCATCACCCTGAACCTCAGCCGACAAAGCTCAAAGCAAGGAGGCCAAAGATGACTGGGGTGTTTTGTTGTGCTGGGCATGAAGAGGCAAGAGCTTTATTCCAGAATTACATCCTCATCTCTAATTCTTAGTCTGATTTGGAGGAACTTATGTTTATAAACCTCTCACCAGAGAGTACAGGAAATACACAAGAAAACAAACAAAAACAAACAAACAAACAAAAACCGGGAGAAAGGCCTCATCTCCTCCCACACTGCAAAGATGGGCCAATGCTTCTGAAGGTCCTGCTGTATCAGAGTAGGGTATAAAAGCACTTTACCAAGATCCCTCTTCTGAGCTAAGTCAGTGAAACTCTCCAAGGGGGCTCCTGATGAAAACAATGAAGAATGGGAAAAAGAAAGTTCGGGTTCCAAAACCACCCCCTTCCCATCAAATACCCCATCTCACATGGCACCGAGAACAGTTCACTTACAGTTCTTGCTCTGACATTTCCTGAACTCTTCTTAAATACAAACCATATGAGAATATAGAAAGGTCAAGAGAAAAGTTGTGACCATTGCTGAGAACCTGCCAAACTGACAGATATCCATGTCAGGGCACATGAAGAACATTTCTTAGTCACCGAGTACAAAAAATGTTTGCAAGTCACTGACATACATGTGAACAAAATTTTGCCAAATAGCTACAACATACTTAAGGTATAACTTAAAGTACATCTACATGGTATGGAAAGCCCCTGGGATGAAAAGACCCAGAGGCTGGCATTGAGTGATGCCTGAGACACCACAAAGAGACAAAAGGATGAAGTCATCTACGAGTCCCAAAATCTAAAATCAAGAGAAGAAATGTTCTGTAAAGGCACTCCTCCTCATAGACATCCCCGGGGTTCCTGTGTTGGGTTTTAATGACAGATGACCTGATATAGAAATGCCTCCATGAATTTGAGTGTCTTTCCTGATCCCTACTCTATCCTTAGCACCCAAAAGTCTGCTCCAGAGAAAGCTCTGTAGCAGTAGCCTGAATGCACACCTCTTTATTAAAGTCTTCCACATAGCAAGTGGATAGACCATTGTTTACCCAAATATTCATCTGTTATTGGGCACTTAAATTAATTTGCTAACAACTGTGGGCCCTAAAAATGTAAGGACTCCAGACTGGGTATGTGGTTTGGAGGTATAGTGCTGGCCTACCAGAGAAGTGCAAGGCCTGAGTTTGATCCCCAGCACACACACACAAAAAATAAATACAAACTCTTACATCATATTGGCAAACTGTTGTGTGTTGTTTGAATTCACTGAGAAGCTGGCTTTGGAGGCAGGGTTGACAACTCCCATTTCAAACCCAAGTTTGTCTCAAAGTCCAAGTTCTGGATGGGCTGACTCCCCTAACTGTACCATAGAAGGAAAAAGAACAGCAAAACAACCCAAGAGTAAAAACACTGTGCCCAGGAGAACAGCTGGAAGGTGAACCATTTCCAACAAAGGTTACTATGTTTATCCCAGCATGTAAAAGCACCTGTAGTGGGAAGGAGAAGCTGGAAGCATGGCCAGAAAACATGCTCAGATACTGAGGGGAAAAAAAAAAAAGAAGCCCATCTGGGAACTCCAGCTGACTCTATCAACTTACTCTGTCAGTTTTTGTTGGATGCAGCAAGTGTCCAATTCCTTTACTGAAAAATCTCACCAATGGGGTCACTCTGTTCTGCCCGACACTCTCTTTACTGGAAGCTCCACCTGGCTGGCTACCTTAAAGGGATTTCCTCAGTAGATTTCTGCTGGATTTTTTTGAATATACAGTGTGATGATTTTTCTCTCTCTTAATAAACTCACTCATTTGAAACTGAAAATATGTCTATCCTAGATCATTCTCAGGGCTATACAAAACATGTTACTATTTTGCAGACACTAGGACTGTTAGTGAAATTTTAACCTCACAACCTTTATGGGGGACAATTAAAACATAAACAACAGCCGTATGTGGTGGCACATGACTGTAATCTCAGCAGCTGGAGGTGGGAGCAGCAGGAGCGGGGAGTTCAAGGTCATCCTTCTTCACACAGCCAGCTGGAGGCCAGTATGTCTCAAAACAACACAAACCATATAACTTTACACAAGCCAGTCTCTTGGGAATTCATCCTCAAAATGGGGTGCAAACAAGGTTATTCAACACGACGTTATTTGTAATAATATGAGATTAGAAAGTATTTCGATAAGGAAATGGTGACATAAATTATGAGACATCCATACAATGAACTTCCACAAGGCAGTTCAAAGACTGTGCTCCAATGGAAATAGCTGCATAAAAAAAAATCTTTAAAGAGATGTACAGATGAGGCCGATCAGTAGAGCCTTGTGGAAGAGCGCACCTGCCAGGTTCTCACTCCCGCAAATGCTTTTAGCTGCCCGCCCCTAAAACACCTCCTACAGCCTATCTGCGGGACCCCGTGGCTTCCCTGCCGTGGCTCACCTCCGGGGCCCCACACTCTGAGCGCGGCCAAGGCCAGACGACCGCTCAGCGCCATGATGCTCTGCAGGGAGACGGCGCCTAGAGGGTCGAGTGTCAGCCGAGTCCCCGCCCCCGTGCGCCAAGCCCCGCCCGACACTCTTATCCCCGCCCCCTCGCGTCAAGTCCCGCCCCGCCCCGCCCCCAGCACCAGCACTCCGCCTCCCACACGGTGCCCAGCCCTGCCAGCCCCCGGCAAGTTAACTCGACGTGCCGAAGGGGATGGTCTATGCCCGGTGCAGGCAGCTTCCCGCTCTGTGGGACTCTGGTTTCTTGGTTGGGAAGCCAAACTCGGAAGCCTCATCATTTTACCCTGCGCTCGACCTTCTTGTCCGGGCAGTTGATAACGAACGCTCTCTGAGCGCTTACTGCGGCCAGGAATTTCATCACACCTAGTCCTCGCCAGACGCCATCCCTATTTGAAAGGAGCCACGTTTGAAGGCTTGAGGCTACGTGACCACTCGGTGACCAGCTGTCCCCAGGCACCTCTACTGTTTAACGCCTCAAGGGCAGGGCCAAATACGCGGGAGAAGTGTGGCAGAAGCCAAGGACGCGGTTACCTTGACGACCGCGACAGGCGGGGGCTACTGGGACGCTCCCGGCATGCCCCGCGCGGCGCGGTGCCGGAAGTGAGCGAGCACTTCCGCCCGCCATCCCTGCCGGTTCCGATTGCTTGGTGTTTCTGTTCTCAGTTCTCTGCGATCATGAAGGATGTGCCGGCCTTCTTACAGCAGAGCCAGAGCTCCGGGCCGGGCCAGGCCGCCGTTTGGCACCGTTTGGAGGAGCTGTACACGAAGAAGTGAGCTCTGAGGCGTGGGCGGGAGGGAGAGGGCTCTGGGAGTGCCAGAAGACTCTGAGCAGTCCCGAGAGGGTCGGGGATATGGAAGAAAAGGGGCGACAGCCAGCGAAACAGAGCTGTTGCCGGGGTTCTGAATCTAGACTCCCTGCTTTCCAACTTTACCGGCTGTGACAGGCTGCTAAGCTTTGTCTTTCCGTATAGTCTTGATTAAAGGGGGGCCTGGGCTGGCCTGTGGTGCTAGCTCTTAATTCAAACAAGCAAATAGTTTTGAGGCTAGGATGCTACCCCATTTGAGGCACAGACCCTGGTCACTTGTACTAAGCCGTGGTGTGATTGTCTACAGCCTGTAATTTCTTCTTGATTCTACAACCGTTGATTCATTCCCCCACTGCCCCTATTTTCTGTATATTTCACATTGGCCTTTTTGCCACTCGAGAGATCTTAGTGTTTGAGTTTGATTGGAAACAGAGTGAACTTCAGTGCAGTTACAAATTGCTGACATTGATCTAGAGCTTTCTTACACATTCATGTGTTTTGATGGTTCAACAGTTTTCTATTAGTGTTTTCAAGAGAAAAATCTTCAGTGTTTAGTACATAACTGCCTGTGTGGGGTAACATTTTGTATTTTTCAAAGCACTTTATCTGCACTATTAGATATTAGCCTTTAGTCTTTGTGTGAAATGTACTATGTCAGTGTCCTCAAGATTTGTATATTGGCATATTTTAAATATTGGCTTATTTCATACTTCCTTCATCCCATCCACAGATGAGGAGACTGAAGATCATTTTTCTATCCCTCCATGAGATATTCAGCTCATAAGGAAGAGAGCATGGAGTTCAAAATATAGCTGTAGGATTGCAAAGTTCTTCCAGTTGACAGTCATAGTGAGGGTTGAAGCAGTCTCAAAAAAATGTTCTCCATTGTTACCTAAGAAAACTGAGTCTTAGGATAAGTGACCAAGAGGTATCAGAGTCAAGAAATGAACTTGAATTACTTGACAGTGGCTTTAACTACTGTACTGTGGAGTAGGACCTAAATAGAACTTGATGCTTGATGGGACCATCAAGGCTGAAGGTATCTGTTATTTCCTATTAGTTTATAGGTCTGAAGAGCTTTTTGTTTTTTATTTTTTAGGTTGTGGCATCAGCTCACACTTCAGGTGCTTGATTTCGTGCAGGACCCATGCTTTGCCCAAGGAGATGGTCTCATTAAGGTAATAACTTGTCATGCTATGTCAGATTATGTTGGGTATACTCACAGACTTTTATTTGTTTAATTTTTAATGTGTATGTGTGCATCAGAGAGAGAGAGAAAGTGTGTGTGTGTGTGTGTGTGTGTGTGTGTGTGTGTGTGTGTGTGTGCCAGTCACATGTGTGTTGATGCCTGAGGAGGCCAGAAGGAATCTCCTGGATCTGGAGTTGCAGGCAGTGTGAGCCAGCTGATAGAGGTACTAGGAGTCCAGTTTGAGTCCTCAAAACTCTCTTAACTATCATCTCTGAGCTGTCTCTCCAGCCCTTGCTTGTAGATTTCTATTTGTTTGGGGGTTGTTTGTTTGTTTGTGTGTGTGTTTGAGATAGGCTCTGACTGGCCTGGAACTTGCTGTGTGGACCAGGCTGGGATCAAATTCACAGTCTACTACACCTCCCAGGTGCTGGCATTAAAGGTGTGCTATCATGCCGAGCTCTGCTCATGAACTTTTAAAGAAAAAAGATGGCCTTTTGGTGGTCATGGTAAGCTGTATCTTTTCAGCAGTCACTTGGTGTCAAGGACTATGTTGTGAGCACTATGCTCTTTATGACAGCACTGGGGAAATACTTTTAATCTCTCTCCCTTTAATTTAATAGCAGACATAGATGAATCACCATAGGTCACAGCTAATAAATCACTGCATTGAAACAGACTTGGTTTCTAAAAATTTAGAAACCTGGAGCTGGGAACATAGCTCAATGGAAGTATGTGCTTAATATCCACAAGGCCTTCTGAGCCTTACATACACCACCAAAAACAAGCAAACAAAAACAAACCTGGACGGTGGCATACCTGTAATCCCAGCACTTAGAAACTTGAGGCGGGAAGATCATTAGTTCAAGACTAGCCTGGGTTATACAGCAAGGTTAGTAAGGAGAGGGACTATTTAAACAGCTTCTCTCACTTCCGGCTCTCCGAGCCCATACATGCATGCTGTTTCCACTTGCTCAGAGATTTCTGTCGAGAGTGGTATAGAAAAGAGAATGTCTCTTCAGTCAAAGGTGAGAGGATTGGAGGGGACTGCGTAATATGCTGTCTCTGTAATAGAGCACTTTTAGAATTTTGTTAGCGGAAAAGATAGAAATACACACTCTTTCTCATGCTTCATCAGATTCCCTGAGGAATACCCATGAATTTTCTCACCAGAAGTCTCTTTTCTGAAATCTTTCTGTCATCATCTGATTTTGAAAGTGATAGTTAGCATGTAATGGTAGCTTGAGTTATTTCTCCTAAATACACTGTAATGCACACAATGAAGCTTACCACCTACTACCTCACCTCCTGGGGTTTTAAGATTTTCTTAGGGTTTTTACTTCTCAGTTTGACATTTTGCCATTCTTAAGAATTTGCAGTCACTTGTAAACCTAGAGATTTTGCTGGGCATTCTGTCTTCCAGATCATATGGAAAAATGGTAAATCAGACACATTGCGTGTTCTGTATCATAGGGATACATAGTTTATATTTATTCCTTTCTTTCTTATCTTCAGCTGATATGCCCCCCTTCTTTGTTTCTTTTTGAGGAGGTTTTTATGTGTAAGAATGTTTTGTCTCCGTGTGTGTGTATGTGTACCATGGGCACGCTTGGTGCCCTCAGAGCTTAGAAGAGGACATCAGATCCTTGGAACAGGTGTTACAGATGGTTGTAAACCATCATGTGGGGGAGAACTTAACCTGGGTTCTCTGCAATAGCAACACGTACTCTTAACCACTGAGCCACCTCTCCGGCCCCTTTCTGTATTTCTTAAACTAAGAATATTGTCATTCATTTGTTCTGTCTTCTCCAGTAGTCCAGGAGCATCTGGGAAGCTCAGCATTTGCCACACATGTTGTGTCTGTG